ATGTATGCTGTTGGCACACTGAATGATTTTAAAACCTTAAGTCGGCACAGAGTTAGCAAAAGGTTGCCAACGCCTAGTGTGGAATACATTTTAAAGAATATTTAGCTCAATTTTTTTTCTGACCAAACCTGTAGAATTTGGAAGTTTTGATATTTAAACATATATTCGCACCAATGGTGCTATAGGAAGGACAGATAGGGGAGTTTTTTAGCCAACTCATATTTTGCTAGAACTAAAGACTAACTTTGTCTTTTAAGTTTTTTTTTTTAATCATTTCACCCCAAGTAAGGCAATGAAGTCACTAAGATGCAAGGGGTTACTGCGTGTTAGAGAATATGAGAAAAAAAAAACACTATTAAGGAGAGAGGACAATAAAAGAACAGGAATTAAGAAGACAAAATGAGATAATGATTGACAATGAAATTAAATTTTTGAAGATCAAAATTGAATAAAAAGCAAGAAGCAGAAATAGAGTTCCACAAGTGAGAAGTGCAAGAGAGAAGGAACTATTAGCTTAGAACTTATGGCTACATCTAGCAGCTATTTCACCTGTAAAATGATGAGACCTTCCTGCCAATCTAGTACTACATTTAAATTCATAAAGTCAAGGTACCACTAAGGAAAATTCATCGGGACAATTACCATAAATTTCAATCTATGACAATGCTGTTGAGCTGGGTTGCATTGTCTAAAATAATCAAACTTTATCTTCCTTTTTTTTTTCTTTTTTAACATTATCTTCTAAAATTTCTGTATGTCTTGTCTGTGGAAGGTGTATTGGACTCATTCCAGAAAATAAGTTCAAATGACCAGCAAAAAATTGTGTATTTATAAAATCAAAAGAAATAAAATAGATAAGAAATAAATTTTTCAGTTTAAGAGAGGATCAGATGAAGAAAATAAAGAATTGAGTATCTTTAGAACTTACTATCTGATCTTCTTCAACTGATACAGGCACACACACATATGCATATACATAGACAGACACACACACACACACACACACACATATATATATATATATATATATATATATATATATATAGTTTAATCCTCTCAAATTCACAGATCAATTTCTTAGTGCTGTTACAAAAAATTTAGAAAGATTCTGTAGTTTTGAATATTTTTTTTATTTTTCCAAGTACTTTCAATCTCATTCAAGATCATCATCTGGGGTGAATTGCTAAGATAAAAATTAATGTAATTGATAGTTGTGAATTTTTTTGTAAATGCACATGAAACACACTCTTATGTGAAGAATATGTAAGGCAGGTAAGTTAGTCAAAAATTTTTTATTGTTAAAGTTTTAAAAATACTCAACCTGCAATTCTTTTAAAATTTTTTCAAAAAGATTTTTTGCAATTTGAGCATACCAAAACACTGGTTTTATAGATATTTCAAACATTCTTGCTATACTCATAATTAATTTTATTTAGTGTTGGTTTTGTTTTTTATGTAGAGTGGTTTGAGAATTTGAAGTCTTTGTTTTTATTTTCATAGTGGAGTATACTTGTATTGTCAATTAATATGTGAATGTGGACAGGAATGTTATTTTAAATGTTGTGGAATAGAACTTGAATCTAACATGTGTAAAGTAAGCCTTCTTGATAATGTCGTCGTCATGAAGCCAACATATATATTTACATTTTTGTCAGTGATACAATCTCCCAAAAGACATTTAAATTGATATGCAATATTGTTTTTTTTTTTTTTTTTTCAGGGAACTATAAAAATACATAAAACTAACTTCCCTCTCTGTCCTATCATATCCCAAATTTCCACTCCAGTTTATCAATTAACTAAAATCATTAACCAACTTATTACAGTATACGTATCTAATAAATGTTGCCCTATTTACTTTATAAATTCAATCTGTGGAAAAAAGTGATATTTGCCAAAAGGAATGGTTAAATGAAGAGAGTGCTCAAAACAATTTAAAAAAAAATGAAAATGAAATTTAAGATATGAAATATTTGAAACACTGACTATTATACGACCACAGTTTCACATTTTCTATCGGAAACTAGTAGAAACCATGGTACCATAAAGGTCAGTGTTTCCAATATTTTATACATACACATATATATATATATAAAGACAGATATTAGTTGATAACACAATAATACTCACATATACACACAGTAAAAAGAACCTTCAGATATTGGAGGCCATTTACATTAAAACAAAGCAACCCACACTCAATAAAATTACATTTCAAACTAGTCACAACCCATTATATTGCATCTAGACTTATGTTCTGTTGTTAATATTTTGGTCTTTCACATGGTACAACATCATAGAACCACATCATGAATTTATGACCTGTGTCTGTTATTTCATAAGCGTTATCGTCACATGGCAATCTTTTATGTCAACATATCAGATTATCATCATTGATGGTGAATAAATTTGTTTAAATATCCATATAACCACTCTGAGGATTGCTCATGTGAACTGAATGCTTGGATCAAGGATCAGCTTAATAAAAAACATCCAAATGTTGGACAATTTTTGTTCTTATTTTCACCCTAAATTAAAGCAACCATACAAAGTTTAGAACGGCTCATGATCAAACATAATAGACATTGTCTGTTATATTTAACAATATATGTTTAAATATATATATATATATATATATATATATATATATATATATATATATATATGTGTGTATATATATATATATATAGACATTGAATTTGTAAATTGATTGCACGTTTATTGAAATTAAAATAACTGATCCAAGTGCTACATTACTGTAATTATTGAACAATATAGTTCATGCCACTTTGACAGAAAATTTACCAGTAAAAATTCATTTATCACCATATTTGTACATGAAAGCACAACTGTAAAAAATTTAAAATCAAACTCAAGCGTTGCTAATACTTTGGCTCCAAAAACAATAACTAATTTCCAATAGCATTTTCGGATACAACAATACATATATTTTCGTTGTCCTCCTATTACTAAGAGAAAAACAAGAACAACATCTATTCCATACCTGAAGATGTCTGTAGGAACAGACAAAAGCTTGTAGTAAAATAAGAACTAATGCGGCAGAAATTTATATAAACAAGGATCTTTTTTTCATTCATAACGGATTCGAGAGTTTTTGTATATTATTTGAATTGTTTGCGACGATGGATTTCTCGCCAATTAAATCATTAACCTTTGCATTTGTTTTTGTGTGAATAATTCATGAATATATATATATATATATATATATATATGTGTGTGTGTGTGTGCAATTAATACAAATAAAATTATCACTTAGCTGATTTATGTTATATTCACTACCTTGACTCGGTATTTACCCAAGACTTACCCACAAGGCAGGATGTGGCACAAGGCTGTTTTTTTTTTTTTTTTACATGGGGCTGTTTTTCCCTGAATTATTACATTGTAATGTCATCATCATCATAAGTCCCATGGTTGGGTGGGGTCATAGTGTCATTATGCAACTGATTACCTGAACAGTTCCACTTTCCTTCTCAAAATTATCTTATTTGGCAAAGCTGAGAAAGGAGCACTCAACTGTAGAGTCTCAATCACATCACTTGAGATTATTATTCACACAAGGAAAATTATTAATTTAGGTTTGGGTTATTCTATGGTTTATTCCAAGTATTTTCATTCACAGACCTGCAAATTTAGGTTAAAGGAATGTGGATTCTTTTAGGAAAATAAGTTCTTCTTTTTGTTTTTTGTTTTTTTTGAAGTCATGGTTTCCTAGATGGAATCAACATTGAAAAGGCCTTTCTCTTAAGACTAATGGATAATATTGTCTCTTTTCAAATACTCTCTGACTATAACTCAGTAGTTCTCAAGAAAATCTGACTTATACTGGAATTATAAATGAAAGCTATAAGTCTTTCCATTTTCTAATTTCTAACACATATTCTGTGTTATACCGTACCTATTGACTATAATGGGTATTTCCCAATCTGTATAAATACAGTAGAATATACTGTATGTGGTAGTCATTTGGATTCACTGTGTGATTCGCTTGCGATTCACTTTGATTCACTTCTAGCTCACCACTAATAGTTGATTACTTACTATACGCCACTGGCGAATCTTGTATGTTGTTTCTGTTATAAATATTATTGTTCTATTTCCAACCTTTGTTATAGTTATTCTTATTCAGTAACCTTTTCCTAGGTTACAACAGTCTGTATCGATGAACTTTGATAATTCCCCTGGTAGATGTCAAGGTAACTGTCACCCATCTTCCTAAATCTAACTTATTCTTTTTCAGACATTGAAATCTGGATCTGTCTATATTTCTGAGATGAGATATTGTAACTATTTAAACTATTCAGACTGTTGTCCTCATCTTTATTGTCATATTCACAATGTTTCAGTTGTACACTCTGGCCTTCTTCAGGTGATATATGTTCAGTTTGAAATTCCAATGTATATCACCTGAAGAAGGCCAGAGCATACAACTGAAACATTGTGAATATGACAATAAAGATGAGGACAACAATCCGAAGAATTTAAATCATATAAATATTGAAATCTGGGTTAGAATATCTCATAATTTTGTTGTTCTATTTTTTTTCTGATGGCCCATTTATTTTAATGATTTTCTTAATTGGTCATTAGACATTCTCTTCAACTTGATTTTAGAATATCAGACAAATCTCCACGGACATAGAATATTCCACAAAATATTTATTATCATTAATAAATCTCTTGGTGACATTTCCCTCAGTTTCACTTCCATGTTTCAGTTTTGACATTTCTCTTTTTTAAGTCCTTAGTGGATGGTTAGGGTGTGTGAATTATTGGTCTAAAGGATTTTCTGATAAATATTTAACCAGCTTTTGACTGCTGGCTTGTAAAATTCTTGCAATCTTCAGAGGAAGAGTGATGATTTCTATTGTGCTAAAGTAAGCAACACAAATTAGAAACTTATTGTTTGTTCAGAAGGATGATTGTGATGAAGTGACTAGCAAGCTTGTGTTACAGAGCAGTTTGCTTGGGCTGAATCACATTGAAACACCAGTTCCCATTGAAGTTAAGCAATGTCGAGCTTGGTCAGTACCTCGATGGGTGACCACTTGTGAATACCAGGTGTTGCAAGCTTGGATAAGTAGTGTAATGGATAATGTTTTCGAATTTTTAATTGGAGAGCTAAGTTCCATTCACTGTTGGTCTCCTTATATACACTAACACATAAAAATACCCTTGGGAAAATCTATCAGCTTCTCACCTCCCCAGCTATGAGTTAAGTAAGACTTGTATCACTAAACCATTATTATATCACCCCCCAAAAAAAAAAAAATTTTACATTCTAAAAAAAAATATTTTCTGGCTTTGAATAACATTCAAAGGGTGGATAAACCGTAGAAAATGAATCAAACAAACAAATCAATTTCCTAATAGTCAGTATTCAGCTTGCAAGGTGAATTTGCTAACCAGTAGATGTCCACTATTGTTTGTGTGTGTGTGTTTTTTTTTTTTTTACAGTAAAGTTCACCCTGTACAAGGCCTGGGGGCCACTCAAAGTAGAGGGTTATATTAAGGCGTAGTTTAAATCGATAGGAAGGTAAGATAATAGTTTACTCTAGACTTGAACAGGGTAAGATTGTAGTGATCGGGGGGGGGGACATCCTCTAGGGATTCTGTTGCACTGGGCTGTGGTTTGTAGGAAGAAGCTGTTTGAGTGGAACTTATTTTTTGGCTATGGAATACAGAAGGAATGTGGGTGGTTTGCTACTATGTAAGTGGTACGGCAGGTCCTAGCCATGGAGGTCAGATTTGGTAGAACCAAGGAATGTTGTTCATATGAGCACTTGCCACAGTGGTAAAGATATAGATTGATTTTATTATTTAACCTTGCTAAAGTATCTGTCTATATTTCTGAGATGACGTATTATGTACACTATTTACATTATTCGTACTATTGTCCTCATCTTTGTTGCTATATTTATTACAACGTTTCGGCCGTTGTACGCTCCAGCCTTCTTCAGGTGGTCAGAATATTGAACTGAACCCTTTATTTTGCTCACTGGGGTAGACTGTTTTAGTTCCACATGCCATATTTAATGGATGTCAGTTATCTTCTGTTAATTCCCCTCTGCAAGTTCTCCACTGCTTTAACCAGGTATTGAACTCACAAAGGACCCAAAGAGTGTGAAACTGTAACTAAAGTTTGCTCAGCATAGTTGCAGTATAAACCACAGGTGGGCTCTATGGGTGTTGAACAAATACAAATGTGCCTGAGCAAGAGTCTGCAATAGGGATTGGCTAACCGCACTAATAGATGGGTATCCTCGAATACAAGTGACCAAGTGTTTTCTTTTCTGGACACCAAGTGTGCAAAAAATATCCAAAAGTTCTGTGCACACACACACGTTAGCCATTGGCTTCTATTAGAAGCTCATTCACCATTTGACAGGTCTTGTTTTTCATCTCATTGGGTTTACATGCCACCTTCCTCATCAGCAGAAAAGCTAGTGGGAGAACTGGTTTCAAGGTCAGTCACCTGTCCATGTGGCAGATTGTACTGGGTTTTATGTTACTAGTAACAGGCCTGAGTCTTCTCTGTCATTGGTCAAAAAGTTAAAACATGGCTGTTGAAATTTCAATGTTTATGGAGCCTCTTTTTGCACAAAAAAATGACAACTTCATTTCTGTAGGAAAAATATATGAGGTTTTTTTACATTGTCATACCATGATCTTCCAACCACAATTTTCCCTCCCCTTGGCCTTGTATCATTGTATATAAGTATTCAATATTAAAGTATACACTAAAAAATATTTGTTGCTGAAATAGAGAAATCTCAGATATGGGAATTACATCCTCAGGTACAAAATTATATATATATTACAATCTTTGATGTGATGAAGTTACATTAATATAGTGAATCTCCTGTTGTTAAATATAGAAATGTGCAAAGACACAGCAAATATAATTTAATTTAAATAATTTTTAATAATAGATCCCTTGTCCCACATTTTACTTCTGTTCTTTTTATTATTTTGGAAGTATTATTTCTTAGTAGCCACCTCTGCTCGAAATACACAATTCTGTTGTTGAAGTTGGATATAAATCAATTTTTTATGTGACATGACTAATGAACTGACCATTAATAGATTTAACATTGAGTTTTAAAAATATTCTGATAGAAGAAAAGCAGAAAATAAAGTAAAATGTAAAAATAAAAAAAAATAAAATGCAGCAAGAAAAAAAAAAACGAACTAAAGATCATCTTCAGTTTAAAAAAAATATAAACAACTCATTTCAAAATTTTCCACAAGCATTATGCCAACTCTGTTTTTTAACGTATTTCAGGAAAATATATTTTTTTATTCTTTCTTATATATTCTAATTTTCACTCAATGCAAGGCCCAAGAGCTACTCAAGGTAGAGCATTACTGTGTGATGCTGTACAAAGTGCAAGAAAGCAAAAAGTAAAGTTCATAGGTCTATGCAGGAAAGATTAACCCTAGACTTGAAGAGGCCAATATTGTAGTGACCGGGAAAACATCCTGCTGGAATTCTGTTCTCTAAAGCAACAACTCTTTGGAAGAACCTATCTGAGTGGAACTTAGTTCTTACTAATTGAATGCAAACCGTATGGTACATGGGGTGTTGGGTCCTAGTTATAAAGTTCAGAGGTGGGACTAGGGAATCTAAGTAAGGGTCCTTATTTCTTCTGTGTGCATGTCTTGGAAGCATCAATCTGATTTGCCCCTCAAGATTCAATTATTTGATAAAGAGAGGATTTTACAACATAAAATTGATTTTATTGTATATTTTTATCTAATTTAGATATTTATATCAATTACAGATCATAAGCTGGCAACTTCAGTGTTTACAATGTCTTGTTCACATTTTTTTCTGTTTTTACTAATGTTTGCACTATACAAGGCCAAAGAGCTGCTCAAGGTAGAGGGATACTGAAGGAGGTTGTTATGTGAACAGCAAGAAGTAAGAGGTATGGTTTATGAGGTTATATGGGAAAAATAATGATTAACCCTGGACTTGAATAAGGTTATAGCGATCGAAAAAGCGAGAGAGTCGGGTCCACAAAGTAGCAGTTCGTGGGAAGAAGCTGCTTGAGTCAAACTTACTTTTTGCAAATGGAATATCAAGTGAATGAGAGTGGTTCATCTCAGTGCAAGTGGTGTGGTGGGCCATAGCTGTGAGGGTTAAAACTGACAACTTAAGTGTTCACAATACTATCTTTTTTCATTCACATTTAAAAAAAAATTTTTTTTACAAATGTTAACTCTCAACAAAGCTCAATAGCTTCTCAAGGAGGTTGTTGTATGACTAGTAAGAGGAAATAGGTACAGTTTATGAGGATATGTGAGAAAGATAATGGATAACACTAGACTTGAACAGGTTAACATTGTAGTGGTTGAGCATCCTTTTGGGAGTTTGTTGCACAAAGTCGGAAGAAGTGGAACTTCCTTCTTACTAATTGAATACAAAAGGAAATGAGGGTGATTCACATCAGTGTAAGCATCATGCTAGGTCTTTGCTATGAGGGTGAAAGTTAGTGGAACAAAGGAATATAACTCATCAGAACATTTTCCATAGAAATAAAGAGGATTGCAACTCTGTTCACATATTTTCTTTCTCTCTCTTGATTTTTGAATTCTTTCACATGTGTTTATCACATAGGCCTACACAAATTTCAAACAAAAAAATGAACATTCTCAAGTTTAAATGTTTTCTGTGCAACTAGTCTTTAAATGTTATCTTCTTTTGTAACTAATTTCTTTTGGTCAATACAAGCAATTGGTTGTTTGTTTTGTGTTACTAATTTTTTTTCTTGGACTCACATTCAGTCCGCCAATATTGTTTGTGGGATAAATTTTCCAGGAGCCTGTAAATATTTACTATCCAAAGTATTGATTCCTGCAGCATAATGGTGACTAAATATTTACCCAAAATATACAAGTAATCCCACGGTATATCTGTCTGTATCTCTTGTAACACTTGCCTTCTGAAATTATTAGTGTTTCAAAAATGAATTCTATTTCAAGATTATTTTGTGAACAGGAATAATTGTGTTATTTGGATCTTGAGAAATATCTGGAACCTGAAGAACTGAAAAGATCTCAAATCAGTTAATCAAATTCAATAATTAAAATTTGATCAGTGATTGTAGGAAGCTCTGCCATTTCTTTGTTCCTTGCGGACCATGAAACGACAGTAATGAAGATAAATTGGGTTTAGTTTTCTATGGAGAATTTTAAAATCATTTTCTGTCAGTTTCAATGCATTGTGTATTTAATTGCAAATTTTTTTTTTTTTCCTTTTTTTTTTTTTTTTTTTTCCTGATTAGTTTTTGAACCATTGTAACCTCCAAACAGATTTAAATGTTTCAACAAATTTTGTATTTGAGAAAAAAAAATGTGTATTTCTTTTTATTCATTTGACACATTGAATATAATCATGAAGAGAGCTGATAGCTTCCAATTTTTATTAAATTTTAACTTTCATCTTTTGATATATTTTTTCTTTTTACAAGAAAATGAGGACATTTGTGGTTTCAATAATAGACTGTACTAAAAAATATTTAAGAGAAATTATTTTATACTTAAAAAATTGTTTTTATATATATATTTAAGTTACGAAGAACTTGGTAAACCGAATGGGTAATTCCAAGGAGGATGAAATCCTGAGAGCTCAATGTGAATCCAGAGCTAATATTTAATGAAAAAACAGACCACTTTAAAATACCATTACAATAATTTATTTCAAGAGAAAATCCTTTTCTCTATACTCTCCCTTGTCTTGTTAACTACAACTATCAACAATGTTAAATTAAAAAAATTACATTACCCATCAATTTCTAATCCCATTTTTCCTTTCATTTAACAGGGAAGTGATAAGTGTTACCTAATGATAAGAGTCCTTCAAAATAGGATTTTGGTTAAATTCATTATAATTTCCTTAAAGTGGTCTGTTTTTTCATTTTATATATATATATATATATATATATATATATATATATATATATATATATATATATATTATAGTTAGTTGGCTCCAGTGTGCTGGGGGACATAGGTTCGAACCTGCCAGAAAGGATTCTTTAATAAGATCCCTGGAACATTCAGGCT